CCCCAAAACCCCAAAACCCCAAAACCCCAAAACCCCAAAACCCCTTAGTGGCATTTTCAATTTGAACATCAATAAAATAAAATATTTTCCTTTCAATGTCAACTTCTCAAACACCTAATGGAAAGAATAAAGCTCTATCTGCTAATATTGTCACCCAGGTTGTTATCAGAAATGTAGAAAATAAACCTCTTGTTACTAAGAAGAGTTATGAGGTAAATAATACTTAGTGACCAAATCCAGTTCAGACACAAAATAGGCTTTATTATCAAAAATTGCTATTTATGCATCCAGGAAATCAAATTCCTTTCTAAAATCACTAATTGATATCAAAAATCTGTGCTAATACTCTGCCATAGGTCTTCTGGCAGAATCTTGAACGTGGAATTTCTCAGTCGTCAGAAGAAAGTAACCTAATAGCTCAACTTGCTAAAAGTAAATCCCCCTTGAAAATCCTATAGAGATTAATGAGACTAAGAAGTTGAGAGAGAAATAACAAACGCGACAAGCAACGAAGGTAGGTCTTCCACTATAACCTTAGAGATGATCAGGTCAAATACTTCGCTAAATTGAGACGCAAACGGTAAATTTTAGCCTTAAATATGTAGCCAAGACCTTAAACAGTCGAGTTATGATGTACTTTCTCGGTTCGATCAGATTAAAAAGAAAAACTTCCAAATCTCATGATATAAGGCTGCTAGATACTCCGAGTTCATCTCAAATAGATTGGGATTGAAGTAAATAAGCCAACAATTTCTCCACAAGTCATGAGAGAAATCAATAAGAGCGCAAATTATGTGAAATCTAGGAATAAGACCCCTACTTTCGGCATGAAGGAAAACTCTATGCAACAGAGCATTGATCCATTTTGTACTGTAAAGTCTAGATACAGCGAGTACCTACTGATTTTAATCACTTTAGAGCCATTAATATCTACAATATGAAGAATAAAACACCAAGGGGTCATAATAGTGTCAATACAGAACTGAAGAATTTAATCATGAGGTCTACTCTGTACTCAAGTTTGGACAGTAACAGACAGGCCAAGCCTGACCATGGAGAAAACATCCAGCAATCCTCATCAACACAGGGATTAATGAGCAAGAGTGTATCTGACAAGCTGTTTCCAGTTCAAAATATTAAAAAGGTATAACCACTTTTAATTGTGTAGTTAAATATCGCCCTTGACAAGATCCTCACATCACCAAACAAAATAGATGTAACTCAGTACCCATTATGGCAGAAGATGAAGAAGGCCGAGAGTAAGATAAGTGCTGCTAGAACAAAGCTCCGCACCGGTATTGATGTAAAAGATGAAGCAGCAGTTAAGGAACGCTTTTTGATCCAGAAAGCAGCTACTATTTGTGAGGATCAACCTCAAAACTCGTCTAAAGTAGGTTTGCCTAATAGTAAGACATCAGATAACCTATAGTCGAGGAACGGTTGAAGAAGAGCAAGAGTAATTGGAACGACATTGAGATTTACAGTAATTTTGTGAACAGGTTACTCAACCAGACCAATGATAAAAACCTCAGGCGACTTTATTTAAAAAGCAAGGGATATATGATGAATAAGGCAAAGAACAAGCACAAAAGTGGGCTCGATTTTTATAAGCGAATGGAGAAGGATATTAAAGCCTGGAGCAATAAATAATTCAACATGAAATTAAGAGGAGGGGTTTTGGGGTTTTGGGGTTTTGGGGTTTTGGGG